CTCGAAAGAATTTGTGACCAATTAATTTGAAGATATGTGATCAAAAAATAAATATGTGACCTATAAATGTGTATACGTGATCATTAATTGTATAATTGTAATTTTATTATATTTGATTAATAAATATTTTTAATTAATTAGATAAAAATTTGACTTTTGTATTAGTTAAACTTTAAACATGATTTTTGAACTGTGTATAATTAATACATGGTTTATGAATTTTTCCCAAATTAAAATAGTAAGAAACACAAAATTGAGTCTCGAAGGGTGAGGACATCAATGCACCACGTGCCAAGCATACTGATGTTGCCATTTTAATTTGAAATTTCAATAATGTTATATTTTTTCTATTTTTGAATAACTTTTTCATTTTTCTTTTTTCCCTTTTCTTTTTCCTTACACCGTCACACCAATCTTTGCATGTGATGCCCCAATTTTATATTCTATCATGCTTGCTACAAAGTTGCAAATGGTTGTTTTACTTGCACTTAACGGTGACATCGGCTCGACCCTTAATCTCTCGTTTTCACCGAGCCGAGCCTGAGCTCGGCTCGTTGAATTTGGGCGAGCTCAGCTGGGCCCACGAGGCTCGTCCATTTTTATTTTTTTTAAGAGTTTTACAAATAAATGAATTAAATAATCAAATGAAAACAGTTTTTTATTTTTTTATTTATATTATATTGTAATATTTTTTATAAAGTATAAAATATTTATACAATGAAGACGAATTATTTTTTGAAATACATTTACAAAAAATATATTTTTTAATTTCTTTTTAAAGTAAATAAAATGTAAACCTCTTTCTTTATCCGGGTTTGGGACCGACTAAATCAATTTTAAGTATGTGAAGTTAAAAATTGTACACAAACAACTTGTTGTAAGGTGTACAATTTTTTAAAGAAAATTAAATTTAACGATTAAAAGATAAATAAATCTTGATTAATATAATTAAATCAAATATCACTTACCTGACGACATGTAATTTCAACGCATTTATCTTGTAGTCGAAAATGAGCGTCCTATCAATCCTTCATGCACATTAACGCTTCCAAAACACTTTCTTTCAGTCGGCTCCTGATATCAGTCAAAACTCTTTTACCTGTACTAAAAGCAGACTCCGAAGCAATAGTGCTAACCGAAGGTGTCAGTAGATCTTTCGCAATTGCAGAAACAATTGGCCAACGCCTTTTATACTTTCGGCAGAATTCAATTACTTCTTCTGAACTTTTTTAATTGTTCTATCTGTTGGCATATTATGATTGAAGTAATCAATTAATTCGGCAGGCATCATATTTTGAGTTTCGCCCGATGTTTGATGAGATGCAAATGTAGCATGACAATAGATGAACACATTGCAGTTGCATCATATCTAAATGTATTAATGTCTTGAAATAAATTCATTATTTCGGCATCATCTTCTTTAATTTCAGCAGAAGGAGTAGGTGCAGAGGGTGCCCGACTAACATTTGCATTCATTCTTTCCGCATATAAATCATACATTCCACATAATATTTGCTCTAAATTCTTATTGGTGATATGTGTATCAAGTATTAAAGTTTTATTAATTTGATCAATTACGTATCTAGTTCCCAAAATATTATATCAGGGATCCATTGCACATGCTAAAGGAAATAACATCGGCAGTTCTTCCCTACATTTTCTAAACTTTAATTCCATAACAATTATAATTTCACTAAAAGTAGGATCATTTTTATATTTATGAAATGTTCTTACAATTATATAAAGGCGTTCAAGCACCATACAGCTTGTGGAATAATAAACGCTGAATAAAATCTTTATGATTTCATAAAAAGATATCAAAAATCGTTTAACTTTCAAAACTAAAATCCAATCGGATTCATTTAACATATCATCGTCATCACTTCTGACGTGTCTATTGTTATAAAAGTCAGTTATTAAATTTTCGAAACATTCACATGACTTTAATAGCAAGTAAGTAGAGTTCCATCTATGGCCTACGTCGCTAACAAATGTTTTAGCAGTCGTCACCCCTAATTTGGCACAAAAATATTCAAATACTTGTTTTCTATTAAAAGAGATCGTAATATATACTAATGCATTCCTAACATTTGAAGTTCATCCTTTATATATTTTAAGTTATCTTGCGAAATTAAATTCAAGATATGACACACACAACGAATATGAAACAAATACCCACAAAATCAGGTTGAAGTGTCATACACAATTTATCGACGACTACCTTATTAACACTATCATTATCAAAAGTAAAAAACCAAATTTTAGTCTCGCAATTATATTCTCTAACAATACTAATAAAAATATTATATATATTATTAATATTGTGAGAAAACTCAATAATTCTAAAAGCAATGATTTACTTATGCATGAACTAAAGTGGGTCTATATAGTGTGCGGTTGCAGCTATATACGCTCTTTTATTAACCCCTTCCCATATATTAGAAGTTAAATATATAACACCCCCATATTGTTGCAAATTCATAATTAATTGTTGTTTTGAATTATTGAAATATTGTATTGAATTAGCACGAAGAGTGTTTCGATTTATCCCAACGTACCTCGATTGTAGATATTCTTTCACGAACGAGATGAAGTGTTAGTTTTCTGCAATAGCCAGAGGCAACTCAGTGGCGGCAACAAATTTCACCATTCCAGTTCGAGTATTGTCCTTCGAATACACCAATGTGGATAGGGGTGAAGTTGTAGAACCGGTGCTTGGACTTCCAAATTGCGATTATATTTGACCAGCTGGAAGAAGTACATGTCTAGTCGCACATGCTTTGTAGTGGCGGTTGAGATGGGTGGTACCAATTCCTTTTTACCATGCCAATATTTGTTGGCAGTATTTACATACTGCTATAAATTCTGCAAGGCTATCGACGATTTTTCTCGTTGAAATCAACTTAAAGTGATTCTAACATATTGCTTTTTTTTTTGGCCTTTCGCTTTCTCCTCGCATCTGGAATATTTAATTCGGCATCTCTGTCCTCATGTTCCGCTTCGGGAACGTCAAGATCATCCAAATTAATTGAATTGTGGCTTCCCTGACCGTGAATGTGAACATTTTCAGGTATGGGTATGTCATTTAGACCAACAAATTCATTTGAAAATTGAGTTTACGATGTCCTAGGCAATTCGCCATGATGTGGCCCACATCCCGTATCGAATAAGCTCTTAACAAATGAGCGTTGATCAATTTGTTTGATTGTTTATGGTGAAATCCAAATATAATAACTAGAAGATTATAAATGTAGTAAGATTATAAGAATTGAGAATTGGATGAATTGAAATTGTAACTAATAAACTGTAAAAATTGAATTGATATTATATATTTTGCAGCACAAGAGTATAAAAACTCAATAATTGATATAATAAAAGAGAGTTGAGAGAGTTAGAGTAGATTGAGCAATTGATATGAAAAAAATAAAGAGTGGTTAAGGGGTATTTATAGTAGAAGGGGGGGAAAAATAAAAAATAAAATAAAATTTCAGACCGTTTTGGTTACTTTAATAGGGGCTTATTGCGAGCCTCGGCTCACGTCGTGGTTTTACGAGCCCGAGCTGCCCACAACCCCTTTTAACATTCCAACTTGCACTTAACAAATTTTAAGATAGTTGCTCATTGATTATACTATTATTATCTCGACAAAAGTATTGAAATCAAATCATATCGAATGTTGTTAATCAAATCTAAAATCTATTGGTTTTGATTCAATTCTCGATTTCAATATTAAAATTGAGAACAAGTATGATTTAGTTAACCCTTTTTTATTTTGGTATATTAAGGTTGGTGCAATGCCTGCAAGTAACAATTAATCAATTTTTTTTATTTTTTCACACGAGTTAACTCATTTTAGGGCAATGTAATTTACATTACTAATTTGAAAGTTTTTATTACAATGTGAACCAAATTATTCGGTTCGGTTTGAATCATGATCACATCTAATTATTATTAAACATACCAAGCTCACTCAAAAAAAAAAAAAAAAAAA